TGCAGCGAAGAGACAGTGGGAGAGAATTCCACAACCGTGGTGCCACAGTCTGAAAGGCCCGATCACCACGAGTTTTTACAGGGAGGATGGATTGAGATTATTAGAGGGCAGAGCGCCGCTCTTGAAAGTTTAATAGAACTATTAAAGCGCCATCGATCAGCCAGATGAGGAGCGGAGCAGCTTTATACGTTAAGTTAATATTATCACTCACAGTTGCAGCTGTGACTAATGCGGTTCTTCTTCTGTGGCGATATTACAGCAACAAATCAGAAACTTCCCACAGGTGTCAGTGAGAAGCAGATGCCCACAATCAGGCTGCGTTAAAGGAGTAATCCACCAAAAATCTGTTTTTGAATATCGAATGCTCTCAGAGTTCTGACTGCAGTGACAACATTCAGTCAGAGCTTATTAATCTCTGACTGAATGGCAGCTCCTATAATATCTTCTTTATGGTGATCTTTAAAGTACTGTGCAAAAACCTTTGAGCCACTGTTTTGGAAAACATGCTACCAAAAATATACAAAACAAAACCAGAGTCTGTAAATCTAACAAACTTTAAAGTAAAGGTCAAGTATAAATGCAGCTTAAGGCTGTAAAATCGCTGTGAAGAACAAAAACTGTGTTCACATATTCTGGACGAATGGCTTCAATAATTTTGTGGAAGTTTTTTGAAATCAGATATTCTCAGGAAGTACGAGCTGACAGATGCAGGCCTGTTGGGAAATATTAGATCATGATGGGCTGAACGTGAGGAGGTCATAAAGCAAATCCTGAACAGATGATCACAAACTGGATTTTAAATTTTGTTTCCTCTGTAGAAAAACGTCCTTCAGGGCGAGCAGCGGGACCACGTGTGGAGCAGAGAAGGCTTTTATGCTGTCGTCCTCTTCTTCACTGTATTCGTCATCGTCATCACCTGCTTGATGGTAAATGTGTGTTTTTTGTTTTGTTTTTTTGTATGTGTTTGTTTTGGTTTTTTGTAAATATGCAAGACTGGACACTCACTCACTAATGTGTATAAAGTTAGCATAAAAACTTGTCCTATATATCCCACAGTGAAAGACGGTAGAAGATTTGCTAATCTAATTAGTCGATGTTGCCGCACCAAAAAGAAAAATCTTTTTGGTGCGGACTGAGCACAATCCTCAGCTGCCACATGAGTAAATCCAATCAACCAGTTAACAAGAACTCCTTCAAGCACTTTGACTTAGATGTAATTAGGTCAGAGAGTTACTGAAGAACATATGAAGCCTTCAAGTAAATAAATGAATTCTCCAAGAAAGAAAGAAAACAAATTCATGAATAATTCATTCTTAGAAATAATAAAAATTTGAAAAAATTACAAACAAAAGAGACAAACAAAACTTAATAAAAACATTAAATAAGATTACAAAGTCACTCCCCAAAATACAAAAAGAAAATAAAAAGTTATAAAAAACAAATAAACAAACAAACATGTAAATAAATAGATCTTTTTAGAATGACAAAAAAAATTTAATAAACCCCAAATAGAAAGAAGAAACAAATAAAATCACATAATCATAGCATATGAACAACAACAACAAATAATTTTTAAAGCAAACACAAAATAGTCACTAATATTTAAAAGTTGCACTTCACATCTTGTCCACATGAAGGAGCACCTGCACACAAACCTCCGCATGCCTCTGCCTTTTTGTATTCTGTTATATTCCCCTTTTTCTCCTTTTCCTTTTCTACAAT